ACATGAACGATAATACTTTAAGAGGTATTTTTAAAAAAAAATTTCCCATATATTTTTCCATTTTGGGGGGGGGGGCTTCAGCCCGAAAGCCTCCCCCCCGTAGATCCGCCCGTGTGACCCATTTGTATCAGATACAAAAGTATCAGATACAAAAAAGTACCCGTATCAGTTGTATCTAGATACAAAAATTTTAGTATCAACACATCCCTAGGTACAAGATGTGAGCTAAGTACTTTGCAATATCTTCAGACTAACCTTAATCTCCTCTTCAATTTCGTTTTTTTTAGTTATCATAGACCATAGATACTTAGATTCTAACTTTATTGAGCGTTTGTCAAGCACATCCTGACTAGATTTACTATTTTTTTTGGAATCCCCGCTCGATTAGAATATTATACAGTTTCTAGCTGTGAATAGAATCATAAGCCTTTTTGAAATCGATATACAGCTGGTGAACAACACCGTTGTACTCTATTTTTTTCAACATTTGCCGTAAAGAAAATAATTGATCAATAGTCGAACGATCCCGTCTAAATCCGCATTGGTAGTCTCCGATAATTTCCTCGGCGTATTCTGTGATTCGGCTTTTAAGATTAAAGTGAATATTTTATAACACACCGGAAGTTGTGAAATTTCTCGATAGTTATTATAATCCGTCCTCGGATCCTTTTTGTGAATCGGAATAAGAATAGATTCTTTCCATTCTTCAGGTAATTTCTCATTCACCCAGATCTTTTAAGCCAACAGATGTATTTCAGAAACTCCAGCATAACTTATTTGTTATGTCTGCCGGATCTGTCAGAATATTGTTATTTTCATCCCTAATTCCATAGGTGACGGTTCTTAACATTTCCGGGATCTGTTTATACCTTTGTACATGTCTCTTACGTTATTTTCGGTTCTATTAGTTTCTATTTCAGTTATTTTATTTTTAAGATACTTCCTTTTTTTATTTTTGAACAATTTGTCGTTTCATTCTTTGAGGTTCGGAAGTATTCCAGATTGTCTTCGCTAGGATTATTTAGAGCTTTTAATTTAGTGGCTTTTCTTTTTTCGCACATGTTTAAGCAGTCTTCATCAAATCATGGTATGTTATTCTTATTTTCTTTTTTTCCTAGATACAAGTTACCGACCGCTTTAATATTATTCCTGATCTCTACCCATAACTTGTCAATATCCTCGCGGTCCTCTTCATAAGGTTCTAAAGCTTCAAACCTATTCTTAACATCTAGCTCTAATTGATGGATTTTTTAATTTTTCCAAATCAAAATTCTCGAAATCGAAAGTTTTCTTTTCTCTTTTTTATATTAAGTTTATGTCGACATTTGGGATTACTAACTCATGATCCGACCCACATTCTGCTCCGCAATAAGACCTTACATTAATTATACTGCTTTGCCAGCTGTGTTGAATCAAGACATGATCGATTTGATTTCGTGTTTGCGAATCCGGTGATGTCCAGGTATATTTATGAATATCCTTACGTTATACGTAGTACTTTTAATTATCAGGTTTTTCGAGATGGCAAAGTTTATCAGACGGGTCCCATTATCATTACTATATTCGTGCAAACTTTCTTTACCAATCGTCGGAACATAAACTTCTCACCTTTGCGTTCGCGTCACCTACAATTTTTTTCATGGTGTTTCACGGTAGTTATTCATAAACCCATTCGAGTTTATCGTAAAATTCACATTTGACTTCATCGTCACTGTCTTCGGTCGGACAATGTATGTTTATTAATGGGATTTTAAACTAACGTTCCTGAAATATCGCTACCGAGATTCTGTCACTAACGAATTGTACATCCCTCAAAGCGGATAGCAATCTATTCCTAATTAGAAACCCGGTACCTAAACAATGATTCCCGCTTCCTTCTTTACCAAATAGAGTACTTTCCTTCCCCCATCAAGCCCTCCTCTGGCCAGCAAATCTCTTGCAGAGCCACGACATCCAAATTGTACCCATTAACCTCATTCGCGACCGATTTTACGTACGTACCAATATTTAAATCCCTATTTTTCAACTTGTGCCATGAATCCCCTAAAGCAGTCCCCAGCCGGAGACCCGAAGGAGGGACTAGTTTACCTCCGGATAATGAGCGTTTTACCTTAGGGAGATCCATGACTTTTTGTGGTGTTTGGTGAACTAAAAATATGTGAGTAGGGCGTTCAATCCTACGTCACACCCTCCAGCAAGTCTGGTGGGCCCCTACCTCCAGCAAGTCTGGAGGTCCCCTCCCTCCAGCAAGTCTGGAGGGCCCCTCTCGTTGTTGGTCAGCGAGTCGGACATCGGACTTAGCCGGAGGGAATTTCCACCGACCATCCCCACATCCGCCACCCGTCGGACGCTCCCCATACGCGGTAATGAGCCCGCGCGAGAAAATGTTAAAATAAATATTATTTTTTATTTTTTCCATTTTTATTATGACTGATCACCCCAAGCATCCTTCTCTTCATTATTCACTACAGTCAATCATCAACCCACAATTACAGTAAATATATTTATAAGTTTATAAACGTATCTATGAAATATTTTTATATTTCACTTCTTTCACTCAGGTACAATAAAATAGTAGTGGGTATTGTTGGGATATCACAAAGGGAAGATTAAATCAAATTATTCAATAATTTAATTTTCTATAAAGTTACATGACAATATTTCGGAATAAATGGACGTTGATACCTAATTATTTAAATATAATATTAGATCTAGAATTATTAAACTACAGAAGTTTACATTTAGTTTGTAAATTTCATTTAACTAGTGTTCACCCAGTGGTCGAAATTCGACCATAGCCAATTAAAAATTAAAAATTTGAGGAAAACCTATAATTAAATAAATAAAGAGTAAATCACGATTCAAAAATCCTTATTTATTAATATAAACAAGATTTCAATTTCAATTAAAAATCCAGTTTAAGCCACTTAAAATTATTTATAAGCAATACAAAATATACTCATTCAAAAATATTTAATTTCAATTTTAATTTATGTGTGTTATTATCACAATAAATTAATGTTATGATTAAACAAGTAAAAAATAAATTTAAATTAGCAATTTCAATTAATTTTAAATCCATTTTTATTTAGAACTTCTCTGTAAATAATGTTCTTCTTGAATGTTCTGTTATTGTTGATGCATAGCCATTGAAAATATAAATTTCAAGATTTTAAATGAACGTGCTCTACTTGCTGCCACATATAATTGTCCATGCGAAATTACTGGACGTCACAATAATACACACATTTTTCCAAAACTTTTACCCTGCGATTTGATTATGGTCATAGCAAACATATAATTATTATTGTATATTAAAAAAAAATAGGGAAGGACTCAACATAACCACTCCCACTCTCCTCTCTAGTAAACATGTCCAGGAGTCAGGCTATTATAAGCACTTTTAAAGACTAATTTCAAGTGAATGTATTTGTTATCTAAAACTCAACAGATCTGCTATTGAGACTGAAACAAGAAGCCATAAAAAGAAATTGATTAAAATTAATGTACCAAAGTCATTTTTTGGATCCTACAGCATTCATTGTCCACGAACTAGTTAAGTCCTCAGCATACAAATAAATTATTTAAATATAACATATTAGAAAATCAGTAATCATTAATTTTTATTCATTTTTTAAAATATCACAATATATATATATTTTAAAGGACCTAAAAATAAATTCCCCTGGGTGACAAATGATCTAGGTAGGCTACTGTATGAAAGTTCTTGATTAACAAATTGGAAACCAGATATTTTGTAGCGTAATAAACTGGATCCATTTTACTGTAAAAAATACTCCTTTTTGTCATTTATATTGCTAACTGTGCTGGTTAATAGAAAACTTCACAATTGGTAAGATGAATTTCAGACATGTTGTTTTAGACAAGGTAGAAAGGTAAATAAAATAAGAATACTGGATTAGGATTAGCAGAATGCCCACATAAAAATCAAATACTTCACATTCGAATATGTAAACCATTTATTTATTTAGGCTCTCAAGTGAACTTCGACAATAATATGCAGCAGGAAATTAATAGAAGATTAATGGCTGCAAACAGATGCTATTTCGGCCTCCTAAAACATTTCAGAAGTAGATGTTTCACGAAACACTAAAGTGCAGTTTTATATGACCCTCATAAGGCCTGTTCTGATCAATGCTTCTGAATGTTGGACGATCACTCGAGCTCAAGAACGAAAACTCTCAAGATTTGAGAGGCGGATTTATAATATGATAAATAGTTTTCATGATTGTATGGAAATTATTGACTAGTTCTAATTGAAGAAATAGTTAGTGTAAATTTATTTATAGCCTTGTAAGTCTTCATCAGGATTAAAAAATCTAGATATAAAAAGTTTTTATTGACACATGTACAAAAAATTTAAATAAGAGTTGATGTTAGTTAAATTGGGATGAGGTTTTCTTGGTATCTGTACAAATTACAGATCTATTTTAAGAAGTGAAAAATGACCAATAGTAAATCTGTCAGGAAGCCTCTACACAACGATGAATGCCTCAAGAGTTAGGAAGAGACATGTTAGGCCAAAAAACAGATGGGTAGATGGAATCAACAAAGAGCTGTAAACAGAAAATTGAAAAGAAACAGTCCAAGATAGGTTTGCTGATGGAGAAGGCTGGTCTAGGCAGCGAAAATCGACAAGGCCTGTAAAGCCAATAGAAAAAAAAAAGTTCATGATCATCTATTTACTGGTATATTTTTATTAATCTAGTCTCTTGACCAGGTGTTTTCTGTTTTTTATCCATCTATCAACATATCTATATTTTAAATACAATTGTTATAAACTTTTAACTACCAGATGAGGATTAAATTAAAAGAAAAAGTAACACCAAACACAAATTTATTATACGCAGTCTCTTCTGTTTTTGTTTTTAAATAACAGATTACATAAACACATTTTTACACAAGACATATATCATAAAAAATTTAAAATAAAAAAAATCACTTTGATTTATTTTTTTATATTTCAATCAGAAAAATAGCTTCTATTTACTTGGTACCGTATCTTTTATTACACTAAATATACATATATTTATATATTACACATAAATTAAAAATATGTATGAATGAATGTACATAATTAATAAATATACATACAAACACTTATACATATTAAATATTACATGCAAAAGAAATGTTTGTGTTTATGTCTTTTATTTAACTTGGGGAGTGATTACAGAAAAATAAATTAACAGTGTTGATAAATAAACTCAATTTTAGTTAATGTGCTAATAATCCATTTAATTTATTTGTTATAATTTTAAAGATTATTTATTTTCTTATTAATATAAAATTATGAAAATGCGTACTATGTTCAATAATCTGATTGATTACATGCACCTTAAGGTGACATAATATATAACACTAATAAAAATCAACAAACTTACACGTAAAATTAGAAAGAAATTCCAATATATTTTTTAAAATTTTATTTTACAATCATTACTAATTGAAAGCAACAATTAGTTTATTCCATAATAAACAGACAAGCAGGGCACATGGACAATAATTGTTTTAAAAAATAATCATATCCTACAATAAATATTTATTATTCCACACAAATATTTCTTAACTTTAATTTAATTACAAATTTTCATAGACAAATGTAGCCAACCAAACTTTCTATATTGAAGTTTATTAGGACAATTTTTCATCCAGGATTTCATTTCTGTTTTTACCTTTTCAATGTTCACTTACTTAACAGCACAAATGATACGTCGACAAATACAAACAATTATAATAGAACAAGGTCAGGAACACTTAATAAGTTCAAGTGTAGGATTTAACACCAATTTTCCCAACTAGGTTTTCCTAACGTTATTATAATAGTGTGACAGCTCTCCCTGTCTGGCTGTTTATTGCACCATGCTAGTCTAGTAATTATTTAAATTATTTAAAATACATTAATATTTACTCGTTTTTGTGTTATGTCTTATATAAAAAAGTGTCATATCACTATTTGAGTGATTCCACAGTGCAAAAAACTCATTATTTCATAAATACCAAAAAGACAATAAATATAAACACTTATGGTAAAGAGCACCTTACGACAAACAAATGACTAGAAAGAAGAGAGAAATTGATTTTTTTTTCTCTCTTTTTTTTAATTATATTTTTTACTATTGAGCAAAACTTAAAAATTAACAAGGACGGAGTCATACACATAAAAATTAATTAAAATAAATAAATTCAATATGTAACTTAAACTAATAATTAAATAAAAAAAAACAAAAAAAACAATGAGATCTCAGTTAGGTAAATTCTCTTCTTAATTAAAAAACCACTCATTATTTTTCTTCTATGACGATTGAGGATGAGCTAAGGAAACCAACCAAGCTTATGTCCTATTCCTAATGATAATATTGCACTTTGTTAGCTAAGGCGCATTTTTTTAGTCAGACTTTCACTTTCTCCTTCTTTGTTGTTATTAATGTTTGTATTGTTATTGTTATTATTCCCATTTCTTTCAGAGTAGTCTAATCCACAACTTTTCTATAATTAAAAAAAATAAACACCATTAGATCAAAAATCATAACAATAGAAGTAGTATAAATTAATATGTAACTTTTGACTAAAGAATTAGTCCAATTTTTATTTTTATTTTTTTTGTTAAAGAATGTTTCCTTAATAGTAAGGCTCGGATTTGGAGGATTCCTCACTCTCTCTCTCTCTCTCTCTCACTCAGTCAGTCACCCTCCTCCCCCTCTCTCTCCCAACCCTTTGGCAGAATTCTGAGATAATAGTATCAAGAAATTTAGCAAATATTATTTTTCCCAAGCAAACAAATCTTTGCCCAAGTACCTAAATTTATTCTATACTAATGGTTCAGCTATTCTATTGGCTTTTGGGGTCGTTGGATCGGCTGGATGTTATCTCAGTGTTTTTGTATCTCAATTTAGTTTACATATTTAAAATAAGTTTACTTTTGTTATATATGGGCAAGTTCCTAAACTCAGCACTGAGTTTAACAATTAGTCCTTTTTATATCTGCTTTGAAATTCTACGATTCAGTGGGTAGATATTTCTTTATACATTTTTTATTTTTCATGTTTAGTAACCTTCCAAGAGTGTTGACCTTATGCCGAAATCCATCAGGCCAATCTTAAATTCAGCATAAATTGTTCTCCATTGTTGCTAAGATTTAATCAATTGATAAAATCCATGGAATTAGTGCTAAGTTTAAGAACAAGCTCTTTTTATTATTAAATAATGCTAATTCTTAAAATTCTAATTTCTGTTTAATGTTCCTACTCAGTTTTTAACATATTCATTTAGATTTTTCATGTTTAAACTCTACAAATACTATTTTATATTATATACTATTTTTAATAAATGTTTTAAGATCTTTTAAGGTGTTGGTAGTTCAGTGGTAGGGTACTGATCTTCCAATGATTAAGTTACCAGGTTCGAATCCTGGCTCATGACAGAAAAATTATTTATCATTAGTCATCAGCTTTGGGGCTGCCTTGGGAGTAGGATACCCTCCTGGGGTATACCCTGCCTCTATGAAGTGGGTGCCCTTAGTTAAATAATTAATTAATTGCTTAAATAACTAATCAATTGGTAAAACTCAGTCAAATCACCTCCTTGCACAACCATCGACTAAGGAACCCAAGACCCTTCATGGCTTGTCGCCGTACAAGTTTTTTAAAAGATCTTTTAATTGATTTTTATGATCTATTCTTTAGAATTTTATTTATTAGTAATAAACTTTAAATTGATCCTAATGTCTTAACATTCATTTATTTCAATCTCCAAACCCTTTCCATGCTCTATCTATATAAGAACTAACAAAAATTTGAATTAAAATAATTTAATGAAAAATTAAGCTAATAATTTTAGTAATAATAATGCCCTCTAATGTAAGAAAAATCTGGTTCACGCAACACAACTTTAACTTACTGCTCAACTTTGAATAGAAATTATTTTCTGGTCACATTGGGCTATTATAAAATTTTTGTATTAAATTTTTAACTGAACTAAAGCTAAAATATTGCAGCTAACAAATCATAAATACTATTAAAATAACAAAAGTCCTATTTATTATATCATCGGTTGATTAAGGACTGTACAATTCGTTGATTATGGATTGTACTATTCGTTGATTATGGATAGTACGATCCGTTGCTTATGGCCTGTAATACTATTAGTTATTAAACTGTTATTTTTCATTGCAAAGTTTATGCAAAAAACGGAATTAAGATATTTCCATTGTCTGTCATAGACAAGTCAAAATTTGTCACCCTGGTTGTAAGTGGATTCCATTGGAATATTCCAAAGGAAAAATTTAGCAAATTATTCACTAATTTAATTTACTTAAAGGTTACATAATGATTTTTCGGAATAAACGGATGATAGATACCTAATTATTTAAATATAACATCAGATTTAGAGTTATTAAACTACAGTAAATATATTTAAGGTTATAAACGTATCCATGAAATATTTTTATATTTCACTTCTTCTTTCACACAAGTACAATAAAATGGTATCTTAAACAATGTCATTCATTATTTTTGCCTGACTTAAAAAAAAAATTTTAAAGTTTACATTTAGAAAGAAAATTTCAATTAATTTCCTTGAAAACACCTGATTTAAGTTAAATAATGTTAGTTTTTAGAAATTATTATATATATTTTTTTCGTCACTTTCCGTTACCTTATACAACTTTCTATATTATATACTGTTTTGTTTTTTAATTCTCCGCTTTCCAACGATATATTATATGTATACCTTCTGCCTATTATTTCCGAATATTCAGTTTCAACCTGGATAAGTATTTTTCTTTTTTTTCTCCTTTATTTAATTATCAAATTCTTCCAAAAGTTATATTTAGCATTTTCCATAACTCCTAACAATGATAAATAATTATTATTTATAATAAACCAAATTAAAGGTACTTTAGAGGAGAGAAAGATATGATAATGTTGGGATTTCACAAACGGAAAATTAATTTAATGATTCACTAATTTAATTTTCTAAAAAGTTACATGACAATTTTTCGGAATAAACGCTGATACCTAATTATTTAAATATGATTTCAGATCTATAATCACTAAACTACAGTAAATGTATTTAAAGTTATAAACATATGCTTTATACATCCATGAAATGATTTTATATTTTACTTCTTTCACACAAGTACAATGAAATAGTTTATTAAGCAATGTCATTGCCTTAGTTAGGTGGATTTTATATACTTGTTTCAAACTTAAAAATATTTTAAAAGTTTACATTTAGTTAGTAAATTTCATTTAATTTCCTTGAAAACATGTGATTTATGTTAAATAATGTTAGTTTTATGAGATTATTATTTATAATTTTTTTGCCACTCGCTCCGTTACCTTCTACAACGTTCTATATTAGATATTAAAATATATTAGATATTGTTTTTTTTGTGTTTTTTTTTTTTAAATTCTCCGCTCTCCAACAATATATTATATGTACACCTTCTGACTAGTATTTCCGGAGATTTATTTTCGACCTGGATAAGCAGTTTTATTTCCCTCCCCTTCCCCCCTTCAATTATCAAATTCTTTCAAAAGCTATATTTAGCATTTTTTCGTAACTTTAAATAATGAGAGATAGTTAATTATTTTAAATGAACCATATTAAAAGTACTTTATAGGAAAATGTATATGAACATTGGGAATTTCAGCCCTGTAAAGAGACATCAATGGGGATAAGACCTACATGATATTAAAGACCACTTAATTATACAATGATACACCCAGTTTAATCAAAAAGTTATCATATCTAAGGTATATATACCTATCTTAAATACATATCAGTTTAGTACGACTTTTTGCTTTTGATCTGGGCTGCTAACATACACACACACACACAGACACTCAGACCAATTTTCGGGACTAGGTTATTTGGACTCAGGGTACCCCAAAACGTGTATTTCTGTTGAAAACTCAGATTCAAAAATTTTCACGATCGCAATACTTACCCTTACTATATATTACATATATAGGTAAGTGAAAGTGAAAATACGTAAATGATAATACAATAGGATTGATTTGAAATTTATTACTAAAATAATTTTTGTTTAATTAAAGTTAGTTTCAACCATTTAAATGTTGTTAAGCTTAATGAACTATCCAATATGGGCTGACAGTTAAAAAATAAATAAATTCAATATATAAATGCTTTGTTTTGTACCAAAACAATATGTATAATGAAAGGAGTTCAATAGTTATTTTTTTCAACATTTAATTTAGCTTATATTTGTTCCTTAAGTAATAAGTGTTTTCATTTAAAACCAAAAAGAAAAAAATACTTACAGTAGCCATTACTGCTATAGGACTAGTACCAGTAGCACTCGCAACTTGATGTTCCACTAGATAGAACATATATTCATCGTACAGTAACCTGATAAGATGGAAAGATCCAAAGCTGGCAGCTGATCTCAGGGTTAAGTCTCTGATGACCATAGAACTGAAAAAAGATGTATATAAAATAAAATTTATAAATTAAAAAAAGTACAGATCTAATAAAAGTTAAATAAACTTTTGATAGTAAATAATAAAGCAAAAACCAGATCATTAGTCCTATGGGAAGGGAGGTGTTATTTTCTCATTTTAATTTATGCCAACTTCAAAAGTTTAAATGCCCATAACTATGAAATTTGATATTTTTACTTACTTATATATTTCCTTAATATTTACAAATTTTCATCTGAGGGGTCTGATCAAGATCTGAGGGGGGTGAGTGTTTTTCCTTTCTTCTTTCTTTGTTTAGTTAAAATATGTTTTTTGTTTATCATTGGATTTTCTTTATATTATTATGCAATAGTATTTCTCATATTAGTCAGTGACAAATCTATTTCTAAACTCTCACCAGCTGTAGTAGTTTTGTGTTGACGAATAAGGTGTTTTTTCTCTCTATTTTTAATAATTGTTTTCTATTGTTTATGGCTATGACCTAAAATTGTATTTGGATATCTCATTTTGGATATTGAATTCGCAATAAAATAAATTGTCGGAAGGAGAATTTTATTTCTTCCACTTACACTTCACTATCATTAAAGTTCCTTCAAAAGATTATACATTGACATTTTATAATAAAAACATAACAACATAACATAACAATTACCAAATTATTGTACGACAGGGGTTAAATGCTAAATTTTCAAAAATTGCTTCCTATAAATTGTGTTTAATTCTGTATGCTTGAAATATTTAATCTCCTCTTTTTAGAAATAATAAAAAGTAGATAAACAATTACTTATAAAAATAAACAATTTTTAACTCTTACCTGTAAAATGACCATTTCAACAGAAGTTGCCTGGCAGCAGCAGAGAAACCCCTCCTTCCACGGTAAGGTTTCAGAACTGAATTAACGACAGCCTTAAGCCAAGATGCCCACTCTTCAAGAGAGTTCTGAGTTTGAAGCGTTGTTTTAAAATCCGCCTCTAGCCTGGCAACTAGTCCCCCATCACATTCACAAACCCAAGATGCCTGTACCAAAATCATATCATTTGCAAAAATTTAAAGTTCAGCCTTTAAATTAAATATAGTCATTAAATGCACATATAATCTATAGAAATAGAGAAAACTGAACGTTTGCTTTACAAGGGTATTTTACAGCAGCATGATTCATTATAGGTTATAGTTAGGTCATTAGTCATTATTAATTCTAAATAATTGATATAATTAAATACAGCTAAAGCTTTAGTTTACAAATAATTATTCATACTTACTTGTTCTTGCACATTGTGGAAATCAACCCTATTCAAGTCAGCTAGCATTTGGTTAATCTGGACAGAATTTTGAAGAACAGCACGAGCAGCTTGAGCAAGGTGATTAAGTGATGTATATCTTCTTAATGTCTGACCTAGAGCACAAACAGCAGATACCTGAAACAGAAAATTTTGATTATATGAATGAATGAAAAGTAAATTTCAGAATAACAAACATGTACAATTTCAGAGACCTTAGTCTGGCTTCAGATAATAATTAAAAAATTACGAAATAGAAACTAAAAGCTTAATAAATAAATTAAAATATTGAAATATATATATATATATATATATATATATATATATATATATATATATATATATATATATATATATACACACACACACACATTCCTACATATCCACAGTTGTATACAAATCTTGACTTATTCGGACCAATATATAATGTAGATAATAACAACAAAATAGCAATTAAATGAACATACAACATGAACAAAAATATTCCAACTTATTGTAAGATTGACTACTGAGGAGAGGGATAAATAATTGGTATTTAAATGAGGTTAAAATGGGCTTTTAGGGATGGAGAAAGATAACCAATTCATCTACAGCTAAATAAATGGCAGACAATAGATCAAAACATCTGTTAAGCATTAAATCAATACAGGTATCCTTAATCATTGTTGGCAGAGTATCAATTTTAGATTAATTCAACTTTCTGAATCAGTGATCTTGGTGATAGAAAATTGCACACAATCAATGTAAGATATCAATCAATAGGCTTGTACGCATAAATAATAAACTAAGCTCTTCGTTCATGCATATATACTTTCACTTGAATTGACACACTGAATCCAAACATCTTTTACTTTTTACCTTTCCAGCACCACTGCAATCAAACATATGGGATTTCAAGAGTATTGCTAGATTTTTCTGTTTTTTTTTTTCTTAACAATGGCATATGAATGAATGGCATCGTAACAATGGCATATGAATCTTATATTTGGCTTTAACTTGGCCTTTCTTTCAGTATAGGATTTTTAACCATATTTAAATGTACTATCATCACTTCATTAATATTTTTATAAGTAATCAATAGATCCTGATGAGAGCTGTAGATTAAAACTAGAACTAACACCATAGGTAATTACTTAACCTTTCATACCAGTCATGGACCAGCCTTGGAGTCAGAAGACTCCTGGGTGCATCCTTCATCATCATCATCATCATCATCATCATCATAAGCGGCACAACATTCTGTCACCGAGACTGGGCTTCCTCCAAAAGTCTCTGCCAGTTTGTTCAGTCATTTGCTGCAGCTCTCCAGTTTCAGAATCCAAGAAGGGCCTGCCTGTGCATAGTTGCTTAGAGCTCTTATTTAAGGATCATTTTCAGAATTTCATTGGTAGCCATGCTTTGCACATTTCCTGCCCATTGAAGTCGTCCGAGCTTCATGAACTTGACTATGACAACATCGTTGTAGAGTCTCGTTAGTTCGGCATTACTTCTTCCCCATACATTTAACAGGGCCGAAAATCCGTCTAAGAATGCTCCTCTTGATGACAAGAAGCCTGGACCCATCCGCTTTCATAAACGCCCAAGCCTCTGAGCCATGACGACTGGGCGGACCAAGACCTCATAGAGCTTGATCTTGGTCCGGTTAGACAGCATTCTGCTTCTAAAATGTTTGATAAGGCCAAAGTAGCAACGATTACGTGCTGCAATCCTTCTATTTACTTCCTGGGTAGTGTCATTTTGAAAGTTGATTTCCGAATCCAAATAAATGAAGCTGCTTACCTTCTGAAAACGGTACTCTCCTGCATCAAAATATCCAACTCCTGGTTTGGCTCCTCCTATCCGCATGTATTTTGTCTTGGCCTCATTAAAAAGTAGGCCAACATAACTAGAAACATTTTCACACGTAGCACTACGCATACACTGTGAACTCGTCATTGTCATCTTAACCAGTCTCACTAATTTCATCAGAATGTTCATTTCATTTAAGACCTAGTAAACTTCCGGTCTAGTAATGCTGTCATTTGCAGATTTGAAATCATCAAAGAGATGATGAGTAATGATTTTATACTCTTTGCATTTTTCTAACATCAGTCTCAATTTAAATATTTGGTCCATAATGGATCTTCCCCATTTAAATCCTGCCTGAAATTCCACAATCTTTCTATCCGTGTGGAGAACCAATCTCTCGAAGACCTTATAAGCAGATGGGAGGAGAACAATGCCCCGGTAGTTGCTGCACTCCATCTGATCTCCCTTCTTGTGGAGTGGACAGATAATACTCCTTGTCCACTCATCAGGCATTCATTCTTCTGGGCAAATAATAAGAATGAGATTGTGGAGATCGTTGTTGAAGTAAGGTCCACCATAGCGCAGTAGCTCTGCTTAAATGCCGTTCTGTCCTGGCGCGTTATTATTCTTCAATTATACAATGGCTGCCTCAACCTCGTCTTCATCAGGTGGCTCTCCATCATCCTGCGTGTCCTCTTCTCTGCCTGTTTCAGCAACTTCCTCCACATCTTCTTTTAGGAATATCTTGTTGAAGTGAGAAGCCCATCACTCCAAGATATTCTGTGTCGGCCCAACCTTGTTCCTCGTAGCTGAGATCCTTGCACGAAGGTAATGCTAAGGCAATGGTCCATATTTGAATTGGTTCCTCGGTAAGTTCTCACTCCAATGAGGTTAGTGTCGAGAACTTACAAGAATATGGTCGATCTGATTAGAGATGGCTCCATTTGGTGATCTCCACATAACTTTATTTATTCTCTTTCCTAGGAACATGGTACTTCCCACAACTAGGCTTTGAGAATTTGAAAAGTCAATCAGCCTTTGACCATTATTGTTTGTAACCTCGTGTAGGCTGAAAGCTCCAATAGTCGGCCGGTACACATGTTCCTGGCCTACTTGTGCGTTTAAATCTCCCAGAACTATCTTAACATCGTTAGCGGGGCAAGCCACAAAAGCACTCACGAGATCTTCGTAGAAGCCATCTTTATCTTCCTCTGGTGATACCTCTATAGGTGCATGGCAATTGATTTTTTTTTAGTTAGCTTAGAGCACTGCGACCCTTGCAGGATTTATTGTGCGTCAATTAAGCTGTTCGTTTTATTCTTAAAACGTTTTCTTTGCCACTAACGCGATACTTAGTAGGCTTGGTGGATTGACCGACCCATAGCTACTGGGGAGATTCATCCGTTCCTCCCTAAATTGCATGGCAGTTCATGAAAGAGATGTTAAAGAATTTCCCTTAAGGCGGTTATAGAATAGATGGGTGTAAATTTTAAGAGCAGTTGGCGGGCTCTTTTTCTAAAGGCTGGTTCAGACGCTCTGTTTTGTACGTTTTGTCTGAGCAGTCTTAAGATGGAATGAAAATGTTGCGCTGATCCTAAGACTGTTCATGAGTTGTAGTGATACTTTTTTTTTTTAATTACTATTCCGTAGATTTGTCTATTTACAGTTATTTTAAACAAGATAATACATAGTTGTAAAAAACCTATCACAAATTAGTAAGTTAATATGGTACAGTGTTTTTGTTCTCTTTTACAAGATGTTCTTGGTCTAATTATTATTATTATTATTATTGTAATCAAAGCAATAAATCATACTTTAATATCAACCATGTCAGGAGGGCATCCAACCATTGCAGAAGATAGCCACGATTCAAGGCCTTTTGCGAAGTTCCTTATAGCCTGAGTAAGGGAGCCTAAAAAAAAAAAAATAAATAAACAAAGACAATAATTAATTCTAAGCCATTTTATTTAACTAATTAATGAAAGTAAAAAATTATACAAACATCTCACATCATTCCTAACATATAATGTTAAAAATATTAAAAAAAGATGAATTATAAGTAGAAAATTTCTCTTGATACTAACAAACTATTATTAAGTGATAGGCAATAAAATAGTTCTTTTCAAATACTGATGAATGATATTTATTGCCCAGTTCTACAAAGATATGAAGGCGTCAGAATGATAGTCATACATGACAAGTTAGCTTTATTTTGAGAAAGTGTTGTATATGTTTAAAATCTCAGAAACACTAAGCCAAAAATGTAATAGCCATCAAATATATATTTGGATGTTAACATAATCTCTTCTCTATAAGTTGATTTTATATCAGTTAACATTTTTTTATCCCTTGCAGCAACAAAATCACCAATCTTAATAATAAATTATTGAAGTTTATGACTGTTCTACATATCATGGTTGATAAATATTTAGGACACAGTCATTATAAAGTTTTTATTGGTGCTAATGTTTCAACCTATACATGTGGGTCAACATCAGGGAGTGTTTCGAGTACTGAAGGTATTCAAGTAAGTACAAAGGTTGAGTACATTAATTAATTTAATTATTATAATTAATTAATTTAATTAAGTTGAGTACTTGAACATCTTCAGTACTCGAAACACACCCTGATGTTGACCCACATGTTTGATATGTAGAACAGTCGATAAACTTCAATAATTTAACCCATCTGTTTGAGTTGAAACGTCAGCACCAATAAAAACTTTATAATGACTGCATCCTTAATATTTATCACCCAATTTTAATAATAGATATAAAACAAATCTGGTGTGGGTGACACACAACTTTCACTTACTCCTCTACTTGGAATAGAAATTATTTTCTGGCAATGTTGGGGTATTATAAAATTTTTGAAGTGCATTTTAAACGGAGCTAAAGCTTAAAGCTTACAGATAACAAATCATTAAAATTACAAAAAGTATATTTATTGTATCAACAGCAGGCAATAAAAATCTAATTTTATAAACCACATAACTTCAGTCTCTGAGCCTTTCAGTTGAACTTGGAGTTGGAAAAGTAATATCTATACAGACAGTAAGCAAGTTGATTCCAGCGTAGGTGATTGCAATGTTGAAATACAGAACTGTGAATAAAGGTATACATTTTTTCACTAGAAACATCTCTAAAATTAAGAATGAAGAATGTTGAAATTGGGGTTAGTCATTCTGTCAAAGGCTCATATATGCCTAGAGATGTTTGAAAGTATATCTGAATACTTAACCTATAAATAATTATGGATCGTAGGACTGTTAGTTATTAAACTGTTATTTTCCATTGAAAAATTTATTAAAATAAAATTATGAGATTTTCATTGCCTGCCATGGATAGGTCAAAAGTTGTTACACTAATTGTAAGTGGATAATGTCGGGATTTTACAAAGGGAAAATTCATCAAATTATTCACTAATTTAATTTCCTAAAAAGTTACTTGATGATTTTTTGGAATAAACGTGCAATAGATACCTAACTATTTAAATATAATATCATATCTAGAGTTATTAAATTACAGCAGAAAAGTATTTAAGGTTATGGAGAGAAGAATAGTTTGGGGTGATCAGTCAAATAAGAAGGCAAAAATAAATGATACTATTTATTTTGACATTAGCATGGATATGTTTATTTAAGGTTATAAACATATCCATGAAATATTTTTATATTTTATTTCTTCTTTCACAGAAGTACAATTAAATAGTATTTTAAACAATGGCATTGGCATGATTCAGTGGATTTTAAATTTTTTTTTTCAAACTTAGAAAAAACTTTAAAAGTTTACATTTAGTAAGAAAATTTCATTCAATTTCCTTGGAAACATGTCATTTACATTAAATAACATTAGTTTTCAGAAATTATAATTTATTTTTTTCCCGTCACTCTCCCTTACCTTCTACAACTTTATTTATTTGATAATATTTTTTCTGAAATTCTGTTTTCCAAATGTACCTTCTGATTATTATTTCCGGAGATTCATTTTCAACCTGGATAACCTTTTTTTTTTTTTCTTTCTAGTTTCCAATTATCATATTCTTTCAAACTTCATATTTAGCTGTTTTTTTATAGTTAGTGTCAATAAAAGAGTTAATTTTTTTAAATAAACCATATTAAAGGTATGTCACATGAGACGTATGTGAACATTGGGCATTTAAGCCCTGTTAAGTTACATCAATAGGGATAAGACCTAAATGATATTAATCACCACACTTAATTATAATTATGCAATGCTTCACCGAGTTTAATCAAAATTGTTATAGCCATTTTTGAGAAAATTATAAAAATGTGTTTCACCGTTGGTATAAAGTGGCACTTCCAGTTAGTCGATTTTAAGGAAAAAGTTGCTGTAACATCTAAGGCATATACCTATCTTAAATACGTAACATCAGTTTCTTATGACTTTTTGTTTTTGAGCTAGACTTACCACATACATACACACACACAGACCATTTTGTGGGACTTGGTTATTTGGATTCAGGAGATCTCAAAACATGTATTCCCATTGAAAACTCACAACTCGAAAATTTTCATGAACGCAATACTTACCCTTACTATATATTTCATATATAGGTAAGTGAAAGTAAAAAAATGTTCTACTCTAAAGTATAAAGAATGCTGTAAACATCTTATTGATCAATATATGCACTTGATGCCTCCATCTATACCCACTTTACTGATTTTGTTTTTTGAGAAGTGCTAATTAGTTTTTCTAATACTGATTTTGTTTTAGTACAAAATGCTAATAATAACATAAAATATATGACTGTGTTTTCTTATAAAATACTAGCTAAAAAACACTTGAGCTGTAATGCTAAAACTGTATTCATTTAGCTCATCAAAAAACACGTCGTTTTTACCAGGCTTGTCTGGCAAAACCTGAATAAATTAATTTTATTAAGAAATGTTTAAGCCAAATCATAGTATTAGATGGTAAGCTTCGTAGAATAAACATTTTATGCATATGCATACAGCATTTCGAGGCTTGAGTCACCTCCACTAACTCAACTCTAATGTATATTACAAGGCAAGAAATTTAAATTTTAAATGTTTTTAGAAAAATCAGAACAATATATGGACGGCTCTTGATAATTGGAATTTTTGACATTTCGAACTCTTCAGTTCACTTCAGTAAATTTAAAAAAATGCTGAATTTTGATAGCTCGATAACTCAAAATCCTTTTTGTAACAAGAGGGGGAGAGAACGTTCTGTAATTTGAACTAGACAATTTCCCTTGTTTATAATTCAAACATTTTTCTAGTAATATTTTTTATATGAGGCTATTTATATATAAAATTTATGTAATCTCATCTATATTTTCAAAAATATAATATAAACTCTTAATAATTCAAATTTTTTTGTTTGTTTCCTCTTAATACCTCAAACTTCTTGATGACTCAAAGTCTTAATAATTCGAATTTTTCTTGTAGTCCTTGGATTTTGAATTATCGAGAGTCGGCAGTATATATATATATATATATATATATATATATATATATATATATATATATATGTGTGTGTCTGTGTGTGTGTATTTATCATTGAAGTATTATTAGAAAATATTCGCTTTTTCATAATGAAAGAAGCTCGACTATTCTTCTGACCACCTCATATATGTTTTTCACCTACACTCCCCTCTCAATCTATTCACATTTTAATTATTTAAATTGTTGAATTGTATAAAATCTTAATTATTTGATTATACAACATTAGCATCTCATAATAAAAAATATTAAATAATAGCATACTTGGAATAGGCCTAAGAACATCTGGAATAAGAACTTGCACTAAGTTTTGGTAGAAAAGAAAATCGACCCGCTTAACAAATTCCTGAACTGGTCTCAGTTTGGAGATCATAAAAAGCTTTGTTCTGAAATAAATAGAAATTATAAATATTTCAAATCTCAAAATAAACAGAAATATTGAAATTCATGTGAAGTAATTATTAGTAAGTTTAGAATAAAATAGTAACATAATTGATAACTATTAGAAATGTTTAAAATAAATCTTTCTAAAGAGGAACCTGAATATTAAAAACGTAAATTTACTTTAAAACCAATATTCATCACTAAACAGTGATTTAAATTGAAACCCTTATTTTAAAAGCCATTTTGGCATGTCTGTATCAGAGTTCAATGGGAATTGATGTGCAATTCAAGAGCCCCTACTGGTAACTTAGCCTCACCACCCGAATCCCATTCTTATTGACCTGTAGTGGGCACGGCTATAATGAATAAACCAGCCTGACATGATGAAAACCTATCTCTGTAGAGGGCTGGATCTATAACAACTAAAAAAGGCCTGGGTTGCCAAATCAAGATTTACAGGAACTTTCAACCACCTGTTAGAACCCATAGATATAGATAAGCCTAGACATATAGAGCTCACTCATGAACTTTAAACTTAGTCGTTATATGCATCTTCTTACAATGAGATAGGGCGGATTAAGATAAAACACCAAATAAAATCCAACTGCAAACAATTATAGAAAAAAGATATGTGGGCAAATCAAACCTAACAAGGAACGACAGGGTTTCTCACTCACTAAGCCAGGGATTTTAATGAGAAATTAATAATATTTATATAGTGTGGAGGCAGCGGTGGCCTTAGACATCTGGTGACCACGGGCCATGACTTTGGCCTTCATTTTTCTTTACCTATCCCGTTTCATAAAACCTTATCTTTAACTTCATTTAAACATAAATTATTTCTTTAAATCCTTCAATATTTTGATTTATTGATAACTTTTTATTTCGTAATTTTGAGCCAAATAAATATTACTATTATTGTTCATATTTATTATTTTAAAAGGAATAGGTGTCTCAAAATAAAATTTACTTCACATTCTTCACATTTTATATTATCTCTTTAACTGCTAACGATGCCTATAGTCAACGCAACAGAACGTGCCCCTGTTGCTAATGATGGCTACAGCCGGTTCGCCCCACTCCTGCCCTAAGTTATAACGTGGCCTGTAGCCATTCCACTGCTTTACATTCCATTTTTTAATGTCGAGTATAGCCTATAGATGGCGTGGGGATTTATTTTGGAGTTTTTCTTTTAAAATTCATGAACTGTTATGGGTGACTACCTCCTCCGGCCTTTCTCTGGCTGTTTTGACCATTTTCATTTTTATTTTTGTGTTCTGTGTAAAAAAACCATGAGTTCAACTGCTCTGAGTTTATATAAATTTTATTTAGTTTAGTCTAGTTATTTTAGTTAGAAATTAGTTCAAGTAGGATTACTTTAGTTGGTTACGTGGCCGTATAGAATTGATTATTTTAGTTACTTTTTAGTAACAAGTTAGTAATTTTTTTGTTTTTGGTTCGTTATTTTCTTTGAAACGGAGAAACAGTGGTTTAGAAGGAAAATAAAAAAAATATATGAACAGATGATGTGTGGTTTGTTCTAAAAAAAATATTCGGCGTAAAACAAATATAGAATGTCACAATTGTAAAGTTGGTCTATGTATTGACAAATGCTTTAAAGAATACTATACCAAATTAGTAATTAAATATTAAAAAACAAAGTTTTAACTTCACCAGAGTTGGTCCACAACCCGAGTCAAAAAGGAGGATGGAAACAATAAAATAAGTTTAACAGATAGTTGTAAGAGCCGGTAAAGTAACGAAGGGTGGAAAGCATGTAAAAAGTATGTAACACGGGCCAGTAAAAAAACAACAGGCAGCCGTCTTACTTAGCACTGTGATAGACGTAAAGCTCGTCACTCGCGGCAGCAAAAAGGTTAAAGAAAAGAAAAGCATTTTTGTAAAAATCATAACTGGGATTTGAAACAGTCACTTTTAACTAATTCAACCTAGGTGGATTTAAAAAACAAAACATGCAATACACAACATTATCTTAATCAATAAATGATATAACCATTGTCATAAATAGAAGTAGTTTATTCTATGTCTACTAAATTTGTTTTCTTCAAACCCTAAAGTAATCTATTTTGAAGCCCATTAGAAGAGCTTGTACAATGAACTAGGTTCATTAAAAATTTAATAATACAAACAGTAAAAATAGTAATAGTTATCTTTCAAAATAATAAGAAACTTACTTTGAAAGATACTTTTCTTCTTCGCATTCATCTCCATTGGTATTTTCTTGAGATCTCCAGAACTCTCGCCAAAGTGTTTCAATAGTGGCAAATTCAAGATTTACAATTGCATCTAAGAAAGCCTATGAACAAAATTTACCAAAGTTAATTACTTTAAACTTAGTGATAATATTAAGAAAAAACAAGTAATTGTTCACCTCACAATGCTCCCTATAAATAGATCTAAAAGTATCAATGTCCTCAAGAGAACACATATGTGGTAATGGAAGGCCTGGTGGAATTTCAACTTCTGGTAGTTCAGGTATGGCTTGGGAACTATCTCCAAGGTACTCCTAATAAAAAAACAATGTAAATTTATACAAAACTTATTTCATGGCAAGATCGCGGATAAATGTAAAACAATAAATTGCCTGTAAAGGAGTAGCTTGAACGGGTTCTTCCAATTTAGTTTGAGAAACTCTAAACCTCTTGCCACCTCTCGAGCTTCCTTCTTCACCACCAGAATCCTGTGACTGGCATAAAAGTGAGCTGCTAGCTTTCAATCGAATACCATAATAATGGTACTTAGAATTCCCTCTAAAAAATAAAAAGTTGAGGTATTATTTTACAATCCATATATATGCTTTGTCAAATAAATTTAAATCAATTTTTTTATAGACTAAAAACATTTGGAATTGTAATGGACATAATACAAATGATATTTCATGGATCTCAAACAAATGCCCTCAGTACTGATGGACCTAATATTAATTGTAAAATTGAATCTCTTTAATTTTTTACAATCAGTTAATGTTTTGCAATCGAATATTCTTAATATATAATATATACAACAATAAAATAATTTTGTCAAACCCTTTTCATACTGGTTGTTATATAGTTTTTAATTAGTTCTGGTTAAGACTCCGAAAACATTGGTACACATAAAATAACTTCACATATTAGTATTTTATTTCATCAATGATTCCATCCCCCCACCTACTAACCTCTACAGTAAATTACATTTGATCTAGATTAAAATATTGATATTGAACAAATGATTGCTAACAAATGTATGGTTTTACCTCCGACCAACATTATTAGCAAACAGCTCAGGTTGAATCAGATATTTTTTTGAGATGGATTTTGTATTATGGGGGGAGAGGATCTTTTAGGAATTTTTTTCTATATAAATAAAATAAAGAATTTGTTTTTACATTGAATAGAATCAACCCATTTCATGGTATCTTTCCGTTTTATACATTACAGACACTAAATCCACTTTTAAACATTTTTTTGTCTTTCTGTATGTCCGCATAGTCGAACGAAATTTTGTAAGCGTTAAGCTCAGCAATGGATAATCGTAGACTTTTGAAATTTTGACATTATATTTAGGTTTGCTTGACTTAAAACATAGACTTTAAATGAAAACAAAATATTGAGTAGAACCAAAGTTATGAATTCTTGAGTAATTTGTCTAGAGATCCCAGTTAGGCAGTTACTGAAAACTAGAATCTTACGGAATCCCAATGCGTAATCCATATTCCCATCTTCCTGGAAAACTGTCCTAGTCCGACCTTTGAATAAAATTTCCAACTCTACCTCACTGTACGACTTCCGACCTATTTCTCTCCTATCCAACTTATCAAAGCCGTTAAGATCCAACTTCCTAAAGGAACATTCCCTCATCAACCCATTCCGATCTGGCTTTCGACCTGGTTACTCAATGCAATCCACTCTCCTTAAAATAACCTATGACCTCCACAACTCCATTGAACAGCAAAACCTTAATATCCTCATCATTCTAGATTTTTCCAAAGCGTTTGACACTGTTGACCATAACATCCTCCCTACTAAATTGCACAATCTTCCTCTATCCAACAGTGCCCTGAGTTGGTTCAAATCCTTTCTTCCCTTTAAAATCGGTCCCAGGTCAACCTCCATCTAAGACCCTCACCCCTTCCTGTGGTGTCCCACAAGGTCCCTCTCTCTATCTCCCACTCTGTTTGCTATTTACATTAATGACCTTCCCCTCATGATCCATCACTCCCAATACCATATCTATGCAGATGATTTCCAAATATACCTGTCCTTCCCGCCCTCCGACCTATTATCAGCCATAAAAAAATCTTCGAGATTTGTGACTGGGCGACAGCTAACAAGTTGGAGATTTGTGACTGGGCGACAGCTAACAAGTTGAAGTTGAATGTGGAAAAGATGAAGGCAATCTTAATAGGCTCCAATCACCTCCTTAAAACTGTTCCTAATATTCCAACTCTGTTCTTGCATGACAATCCCATTAAATTTTACTCCACCATAAAAAACCTAAAATAACCTGTGATCAAACGCTTTCCTGAAAAACCATGTACCCAATATCTCCCGCCATACCTTTTCCATCTTTAAACATCTAAATTACTTCCGTCACCTAATTCTTCTTGAAACCCGTAGGCTCCTAGTTACTTCCTTAATATTTTCCCACTTTGATTATTGCTGTACGGTATATGGGAACGTTTCTCGAGGGAGATCTCAAGGCGAAACTAAATCGTTTGATAAATTACTTTATACGATTCATCTTCGGGATCCCAGGGCACGCCTCTGTTTCCCATTTTTATGCGGAGTTGAAGTGGCTTTATCCTTCCTACTGTCCTAAGTATTTCCTAGCATCCTTCCTCTTTCAAATCATCCAATCCCGCCATCCTTCATATATCTCCGAGCTCCTTCAATTCAAATCTTCTGTTCGTTTCTGGTCTTCAGATTTATACACAAGGGCCCACCAAACCACTGCTTTCGACAGATCGTAAATCTTCATTATCCAATTCTCACCCCTATGGAACTCCATCCCTTACCACATCCGTCAACCCAATAACCTTTCTACCTTTAAATCCCACCTGTTCAATCATTTTTTATCCATCGTTCCCATAAAATTGTAAATAGATACTACTGTAAATATGTATCTAAATTATTAGACTGTTCTTCATTTTTTTTTTTTTTTTTTTACTTCAAGTTTTGTTTTTTCTTTCAATTTTTTATTAAGGTCAAGGGTTAGGCTCAAAAGTTATAGTCCGTGGTACAGACCTCTTTTTATCGAATTATTAACATCTACCTGAAATTTCATAAATAGTTTCATCTCATCGTAACCTACAACTATTTTATTTACAAAAACTTGGAATTGAGGTGTTTTCAATCTGGTGGAGGGCAAACTTTGTCTATTTAATTAGGTACTAAAAACTTGTAAATACCCATTTGCTTTCTATTTAGACCATAAGATAATTTGATCATAAAATCGATAAAAAAAGTAGCCTTCAAAAATATTGCGCTGTTTGGCGTGAGCTACACCCCTAAATTTTTAAAATAACGATATTATATAGGACAAACGGCTCAATATTTTTGTAGGCCACTTTTTTTCTCGATTCTGTGATCAAAGTAGAAAGCAAATGTGCATTTACGAGTTTTTAGTACCTAATTGAATAGACAAAGTGTGTTGCCCTCCAGATTGAAAATGCCGCAATTCCAAGAGTTTTCGTAAATAAAATAGTTGCAGGTTACAATGAGATGAACTATTTACGAAGTTTCAGGCGGATGTTAATAATTCGATAAAAAGGGACTTGTACCACGGATTATTAATCTATGTTTAAAAACTGCTTTTCTTCCAACACTTTCTATTGTAGTTTCCAATTTTTGACAGAGTGAATGGTATTGTCTGGGATGAGGCCATTGCTGGAAATTACAATTGGATATACCTGTACTTCATTCAGTCTGTAAAGTTGCCGAAGCTCTTGACACAACTCTTGATAGTAACTAATCTTTTCAGAAATAGTCTTTCCGACTTTCGGTTGCGACTGTTATATCAATGACATACCCACTTTGGGTCTTCCGATCAACTAATACAATGTCCGGTTTGTTATTTACTACTAATGTGTTGTCTGTAACTATAGATCGATCCCAATATATTACTCTATTTTCTTTTGACAGCAGCGGTTTGGGCTCATATCGATAATAAGAAACCTCGTCTGTAGTCATGTTATTTAATGAGGACAGGGATTGGTGAACAATTTCAGTCAGATTATTGTGTCTCATCAGATATCCTTTACCTGCCAATGCTTGACATCCCAACGAAATATGCTGGATTGACTCTATTAGATTTTTACAAAGGTGACATCGGTCACTTACATCTTCTACGCATATATATTTTTTGTAAGCACTGATGGACACTACCTGGTTTTGTATTGCCAAAATAAACCTTTCAGTTTCGGAAAATAAGTATCCTTTCTTAAGCCATTTATTAGAGGCCTTCCAGTTAATGCCCGATTAAGATAAAGCATAGTAAAAGCGACCATGTAGTTTTCAAAATTTCGACCAGATTTTCTTTGGTAGGAACTTCTTTATGTTCTTTTAAAACTAAGTTTAAAGTAGGCATTATCCAGCGATTTTATTATTATTACTTACTTCGATTCTCATCCCAACCTACTCAACCGCGAGCCACATTTAAAAGTAGTACTATCCAACTCATGGAAAAAATGATCACAACTCTACAGTAAAAATCTGAAATTCCAAAAATCTGTAACATGTTATCGCTTTGAACAAGGGTACAACATACAGACAAATTTTTTTTTAAAAGTAGGTTTGGTGTCTGTTATGTATGAAAAGGAAAGATATCATGAAACAGATAGGTTCCATTCAATGAACAGACAAGACTTTTTTTTTTTTTATTCATATACATTTTTTCAATTCAGAAAAAAAATGTTCAAAAAGACTAAATAAAAGTCAACATTTTACAAGATATATTCCTTGAAAAGTATAGGCTTACCTTGTACCAAGACGTCTGGTTCTAAGACCTAAGAAAACTGAGCGAATGAGTTTCCCAAACGATGCAGCATTCACAGGATCAAGTTTATTTTCATAACAGTGTCTTAAGTAATGATTGTAGAGTGTAGAACGTGGAAGTGAAACACCTTCAGCCGTTTCATAGTTTTCTAAAAGCCATTGTACCTACAAAAATAAACAATTCCATATTATCAATCTAAATTATCTTAATCCAAATTAATTAATGTCTTGAAGAGTAGTAGTTAATTAATAAAATTAATGGGAAAAAAGAGGATGTCCCTAATTTTTGAACATGAGTTATTTCAAGATGTAAAAGCTTATAAATGCTTAAGAATTTATCACAGATCAAAGGACCATTATTTATAAATATTGTCAAACTACTTACATTTATCCATTAATTACATGCACTGTATCCATTCAGCAATCATTTTGGATTCATACTGCCATATCACTTAGTATTGACAAGGGACCATTTGTAAATTCAGAATAATATTAGAAGAGAAGAGGGACGGGGGGAGGGGGGAGGAAGGGGGGGGAGAGAATGGGGCAGGGGGAGAGAGAGAGGGAGAAAACATTTAAACAGCAGTTCGTAAGAAAGAGGCTGGAATCTTTAAGTTGATCATGAAGTTTAGTGCTGCAGTCAATAACTAAATAGTCAACATCTTATGAACTTATGAACCCAACTTCAGTTTATCGAGACTGCAGGCACTACGCCCTAATAGGAGTGACTTTAATAGAGGTGTACAATAGGCCCTTATGGCAGCAGTAAAAAACAAAAAAAAAAATGTCAATATTTCTGGCATACTTTCACTTAACTATATAAGAAATGTGATTAAGTTTGTAGTGGACAGATATGGAAAATTAATATAAAAAAACTATATTAAAGTAACTGGTTGGGAAGTGGTTTAGGGGTTGTAGTCATTTTCCTGACCAAATTATTCAGTCAACCATTTCTCTACCATATCCAATTTTGTAATCAAACTGGCAGTAAAACCTAATTTGGAATTGGGGGAACAATCTTCCTTTCATTATTCAATGGATAAAAACAGGAAAAAATAAAGTAAAAATAGATAAATATAAATTATAAAAACGTTTGGAGGCCATATGCAGCCTAGAGCCTGCATATTCCCCACCTGTGGTACAAAGTTTTATTATTAATTGCAGACTTAAAATAGCTTCTTATAAACATATAAGCACTTAAATTATTTCCTTTTAGAGTGGATATATATTATTGGAATATGCTGACAAAGCTGTCTTTTACAAAGTCATTCATCTCATCTTTTAAAGTTCAAATTTTGAGCTTATAATTAAGAGTAATTATAACCACTATACATTGACAATAATAATCAATAAAATTTAGTGATGGTATTGAAATTATATACACCATTTAAAGACAAGTATCATTTTTCATGAGTTAGAATGATACTAAATAGTTCTTTATTTAGCAATAAGATACTAGAATAATAGTATCAATAAAATTTTTGAGTACCCTAAGAAAGGAGAAGAACAATAATAAATAAAATAGTTGTACTAACTATAAAACCATTTCACATAAATAAAATATTTTAAAGTCGTAAGTACTTACTGTAGTAGGAGAAACACGAGTAGCATGAACAATGTTGGGAGCATTTGAAGCAGTAGTTGAGGAATCAGGTGTGGAATCAGAAATTTGAGATCCTCCACCACTGGCATTTACAAGGTAAGCCACATCCTGAGATAGCATCAGTTAGTAAAAACATGCATTAGGATGTTAGTGAAACGACAAAAAGTAACCCAGGTTAAAAAGCCATTAATGGTTAAAAGTAATCAAGCATGAGAAATGATAATAAAACCTAAATTAATAATTAGTGAACCTATAATAAAAAAGAAAATATAACTCTCCTTTCAAAATAAATATCATAGTTGAAAATGCCTAAGATATATATTATAATTATGGATATGCATACCAATTTTCTTTTTCATTTTAACTATTCTAGCATAAATGCATGATTCAACAAAACAAATAGCATTGTGAAAAAATGATATTGAAGATTGAAGGAAATTAATTAAGGCTAGGTTTTCAAGATTAAAAAGCTTCTTATTTTTCGGTTACACAATTACATAGCTTGTGGCTTCGGTCCTGCAACTTAAAAATTAGAATTTATAAAATTATCATACTTCCTAAGGTTCTTTAAGGAAACGAAAGGTGGCTGCTCACATTAAGGAATGAACAATGCTTCAAGGTTTTTGAAAATAGATTATTGCTTAAAATATTTGGACCGAAGGAGGAGTCAACCAGAAAATTAAGTCTAAACAATGCTGAATTGCATAAACTGTTTCTAGTAAACATAATTGAGATGATAGATTAGCTTAGAAAAACATATAGGGAAAATACGTGTACTTTGGGCCATCCTAAGAATAAGAAATTCCACCAGGGGAAACTAATGGCAAAATTGAATAGGCTGCACTGCAAGAACACTTCTCAGCTGATTTTGAAGCCTCTGATCCGCTCCATTTTTTTATAATATTGATAAGAGTGTGTTAGAGTTGGAAAAGTAATGTTTCTTTACTTGATATAATAATATTTATCAAAAAAGTACATAAACATACTAAAAATTATTGGTCGATTAATGTATAGTAATCTCTCTAGCTTCTTTTGAAGGCAATTTCTTAGCCAAATACTTTAGGACTTTTCTAAAAAATTAAGTCATATCATTGTACCTTGGGCCACTGTTTTTTTAATGGCCAAGGTACATTAATATAATTTCAAAATATGTCTCTTATGAGAATAAATCCTTGGCTCATGTTTTTTACTGAAATAGTATATAAAAGATTATTTGCTTTCAACAGATAAAATGAAAAAGTTAGCTTACCAGTGTAGACAAGTGATACTTATTATCGAATAATAATTATAAATCCTATTACAACAAATATTGTTCAAGGTACAACTATAGTAATTGTACCTTGGGTCATTTATTATTTTTTAAAATGATTTTTTTCTCATAGTCAAAATAATTAAAAATCAACATAGTATCTTCAAACCAAGACAAATAAAATTCTATTTTGATCTTTTAAAAATCATTGTTGTTTTGGAAGTTATGGAGCACTGAGAAACAGTGACCCAAGGTACACATATTTCCCCTACTAGTAGAAGGCATAGAAAAACTTGAGGTACACTTTTGAATGAATTCAGGTATTGCATAACCCATAACTAAACCTTTGCAACATTAGTTTAATCTTAATGGTCTCCAAACAAAATAAAATTAATCTTATTTAAAATATTTAATTTTTGTAAAATGCTGGTATACTGCTAAAAATTCAGTTCAATACACATATTAAAAAAGTAAATTACATAACAAGTAATAGAATACTGAAGTTAAATAGTAAGCTTCCTTTTATGTCCCAAGTTAATTCAAAGCCTAAGCACAAACATTAATATCATTCCATAAGCACAATTACTGCATTCTTATACTGCTTATTTATAGTGTCAAAAAATCCACCCTTGCTTTGGTAGAAAATGATCCGGCTTCATTTTTATTCAAGAAAATCACATATAGATATGCATATTAATAAAATCAAGACGATAAAATATTTTTACACAAGAAATTAAACATAATGTTATAATAACTTAAGATAAACACCTTCAGATTTAAAAAACAAAAAGTAATGAAGATAATTGAAAAATTTTGTAAATAAAATCTAATTATTTCACTCTATAATCTTAACTCAATATATTTTTTCAAGTCACCAACTAACTATAAAGACATAGCTTAATATTCAAGGTCCTTAAAATATTTGAAATTATGAATACATGTAAAATTTTCATAAGAAAGATCACTCTAAAATAAATATGGCATTAAAACACGGCATCAAGCATTAGCAAGCAGTTAGACATTTATTGTTAAAATTTAAAATAGAACCATACAATGATAAATCAAATTGCAAACCCAGAAGAGCTTGAAGTGGATCAAGATGCATAGAGAAGATCCTGTCCATTTCAGTTCAGTCAATACCTGTTAAAACCTATATCCTAAGCTCTTCTGAGCTGAAACTAACTCTACTATCATTTGTTTCCCTCAAGAATTTAATGGACTGAAAATAAAAAAAGTAATCAGTTTTAAACATTTATACTCACAGCTGAAACAGCCTGTGGGCTAGCTCTAGCAATCATACTCTCAGTCTCTACTCCTTGTTGAATCAGGTATGCAGTGTTTCCGATAAGCTGGCCTGTAGTTCCTCCACTAAGGCTGTTAGCCACCTAATGCATTAATTCAATTTTTTTTTCTTTTTCCTTTTTTTTTTTTTTTTTTATTAATCCAACTTTTGTGTGAACATGCATTAGGTCTAAACTTTCTTCTCAACAATAAGTTATCTCAATGAAAAATACTACATCACAATATATAATTATGATTATTCAGTTGTACTCGTAAAATTCAAATTTTATTATATAGAAAATAATTAAGAGAAAAATTGGAAGTACATAATACTTTAAGTTTAAATATCAGTAAAGAACACTTACATAATAACATCTACAAAACAAATACAGATAGATTAATATGGATTATTAAAGGAAGACTAGGAACTTATAAATAGTATGTTAAGGAATCAATAACTTATGTGACAAATCAACAAATTATGTGAAATATAAATTTATGTAACGAATTATGGTAAGGTGTTTAGTCATGAGAGCAGCAATACTTGATTTCACAGAACTATCGATAATAAAAAATTAAACAAATGTGATGAACAATTATCACTAATTTTGTTAGAATGAACAACAATTTTTCTTATATTTTGATCTAATTATAATTTTATATGCTAAAGTTAAAGGTAAATTGAAAAAAAAAATATTTCCCCATTTTTTTTTTCAGTTACACTACAGTGAATTGTATCATGACATCAGTGGTGTTTATTGACAAAATGTTAGGAAACTCAACTTAAATGATTAAAATTGGATGAAATAAAATAACTTGTTTGATTGATTAAGCATCATATTTCTCATTACTTTTGATAAGATAATGGTTTTGGAGAATACATATTCACTGATTAGTCTCATAAAGTTTAATACTAATCATTCAGTTTTCTAACAATATTTCTATTATTTTTTATTTAATGAAATATACATCTTTAAAGTGTATGAATTTGTTCTTTTCATAGAAGTGAACGAATCGTTTCTTTTTATAGAAAAAACAATCTTATTTTTAAACTATATTTCTGCTTCATTTGACATATAACCTAATTAAAAGATATCTTAAGCAAAAAAATTAGAGTAAAATATATTCAAATGCACTTCAATTTTAAAAAATAATAAATTTGTAATTTTAAAATAAATAAATTTAATCATATCTAAATAAAAAATGACAAGAAATAAGAATTTGGTTTACCTGAGTATAAGTAACTGGAGTAGTATTGCCTGGACTGTAATATTGGCCAGAACTTGGAGTATACATAGCCCCGGACTCCCCAACAGTATAAACAGGGTACCTAATAAGCAAGCAATATTTTTCAGTTGAGAAATCAAATATTGTTTCAAGATAGGATTCAATCTAAAATAACTTCAACATTAATTCACAATATTGGCTAACAAGCTTTTAAAACACCACATTCTAATAAATGATTACTAGACCAGTAAAAGAAGAATTTTTGGTGACAGTAATCGTTGGAAAATAGGAGATTTTTTAAATAATTTTGTTTGATATCAAAAAGATTATGATAAGTTTTGCACTGTAACTTAACACAACTTTAAGTAACAGCATATAAAAAAAAGCAAAGAATTTTTGAGCTTTTATCAGTTATTGCATAATATGCCCAAAACGATGCTCTTTCAAGAAGACATTTTGATTTCAAGGATTAAAGAATATGAAATTCTCCAAGAAATATGTACTTCATATTATGGTAAGAAGGTTTTAGTTCTAAGGAAGAGAGTATAGATGTGAGAAACATAGGATCTTGTTTTCTGTGAGTGGACTGATGGTTTAAGCTGTAGGAGATGATAGATATAGGAAGGGTACAAGGAATTGTTCATTTGGTATAAGATCCGAGAAAGCATTGACAGCGGAAGGAGAGAAAAAGCCATTGTAATTCGTTATATAGGTGTGACAACACAAGAGACCGTCTCGAGGTACCAAAGACAAACTTAATAAGCAGTTCAATATTCACTTTAGTCTATCCTCGAGAGGCCACTATATACCACATAGCCGTAGTCAATGTGGTGAAAAATCATTGAGGAAATGAGGAGCTGACGGATAGGTTATGGAAGATGATGACAAGAATAATGGAAGAACTTAAGTGTACCTATTGGCCTTCAAGAGATACGGGCAACATGAGGTTTTCAGGGAAGTTTTTGTCTATTGTATTCTCCAAGTTTTTTACAAAGCAGCTGAAGTGATATGTTGATCATTAATAACTAAAGGAGGAAGGAAGGTAATGGATCTATGGAGGTTGGGAGCTATAACAATGGCTTAAGTTTTCGTCAAGTTCTATCTTAATTTGTTCAAGTTCGCCCGACACTGATCCTGAATACTAAATGTATATGTCTTCCTGAATATTAGTAAATACTAAAATAGGTCTTCCTGAATATTAGTAAATACTAAAATAGGTCTTCCTGAATATTAGTAAATACTAAAATAGGTTTTCCTGAATATTAGCAAATGCTACAATAACTCAGGAGAAATAATAAATAAATTTGGGAGTCATCAGCATATAGATGAATAAAGCACTACTTTTTAAAAAGATCTTTGTGATAAAATTTCATGTTAGTTTTAATTTCAAAAAGTTCTCCTAAAACAACTGAAATATTAAACTGAAACTTTTTGGAAAAAATTTATAACTACTTTGAGTCCAGGTTTTTGATGAGTTGCAGGAATCAAGAGCCAAGAAGGGTACAAAATTCCAATAAAATTAAAACAATACTTATATAGCTTATTTATTTGAAACAAAATATAAATATATGCAGGATGCTTACATTTGGCCATTTGAAGTAGTGTATATTGTCTGTTCACCAGTGCTTTCTATATATTGAACATAAGAATGAGTAACATCTTCACCACCACCTTCAGAAGCTGGAAAAAAAATTCAATATTGAATAACAGAAAATAAAACATTAATATAAAGAAACCAACATCTGCAATCCAAATTTTTAAACTAAAAGACAATATTAACATTTCTAATAATAAAACTACACCATTGATCTATTAGTCTTAGTTAATATTTTTTATTCATTGACAATCAACCTTTAGGGGCATTTTTAAGAAGATAATAATTTAGTTTAAAATTAAAAGCATTTGGGCTAATTATCTTATGTCCGCTTATTAAACAAGAATCAAGTCTTAACCAACTATATTAAAAAATATTTATTCATTAAATATTAACATCTATATAAAAAATTAAAAATTGAAAATAAAATGTTCAGTTAAAGGGAAAATTCAGCAGAAGGCATACAATGTAATATTGAAATGATGGATAATTGACGATACTAGGTATATAATGGAGAATAGATTGACTATTATATTAGGCACATCATGGAATATACATTGACTATAAAAAGTATATTGTGGATTATAGATAATCCACTAGAATATTATAAACTGATTTTCAAATAAAGGTTCAGGGCCTGTTGAAGCCTAAAAGACAGTCCTCTATACAAAACATTTGTCTAATCAGAAAGATAACTGGGAGAAGAAAATATATTATCTGGAGTCAAGGTTTTAGTAAATTAAACAAAAACCAGCAGTAAAGAATGCCTGTTTCCAGAGGAAATGACAGAATAATTTCTTTGAAATAATTTATTCTTCACATGTTTTGTGGGACCTGAGCTTCTGGAGTGAAGCCAATAATTATATTATAAATCAGAAGCCAACAGATAAACAATTGCAGCAAGGAGTTTCATATTTATTCAAAATTATTAATAATGTCACCTACAACCATAGTAATAACTCCTTATTGAACCTAAACATTCACTCACCACCCACAAAATCCAAATCTACAAGATCTACCTTAATACAATATCTGCACATAACTTACACTCTACTCTCAGACTTCATTTTAGTTTAGTGGTTATCAACATCTCAGAGCTTTTTTATTCATAAAAACAAACTTAGACATGTTCATTTCAATCCTGTTGTGAAGCTATTACTTTAATAATATTAACAGATTGCAAAATTGTGTAATCTCCCTCATAACCTCTTAAGATATACTCATCACTTCTCAGACAAAATATTATATGCCAGAGGTCTCTAAACTATGGCCCATGGGCCGGGTTTCGCAAGCCCTTCCAATCCAGGCAGCAAAAGTTTCTCTGACTGCATGATAAAATTTAAAAAATATGAACTTAATTAATCACTCAAACACAAGATTACTAAAATATTTATCCATTCCATGTGCTGTTTCTCTTAGAAAGCTCATTTCACAACTGAAGTGTCATTTATAGAACAAACATCTTTTTTTTTTTTTTAACAAGCTATAGCCTGCGGTACATAGTGACAGTCTCAATGTGCCCACAGGACTTAATGGAGGTCAAATTGTGGCCCGCGATACAAAACGTTTGGAGAACTCTGGTCGATGCAACGTCTTATTCACTAAGCTCGTAAGATGTTCTTCCTTCAGAGGAACTGATTACATTTCACACCAGTAGAGAAAATCAAGAAGAGTAATAGTTTTGCAAATTTAACTTTTAAGTTTCCAGATGATAGACAAGAACTACATACTTTGAGAAATATTAGTATTGTAATTCTTTAGAAGCTTTCATCAATGTTTAATTTAGTTTCAACATCTTCAACCAAAAATAGCAAATCATCAACTTACTTAAGATATTTTACTATCTAGAGTTAAATATCTTTCAGTAAAAGTTATGCACTTCCCTACTAGATTTACTAACTTCTTGGGTATACTACTCAATCAAAATATTATATATAACTTCAGGTGGTCAATACACCTCAGTATTTTAACTTCTTCTCAAATATTTGTCATAGGGAAAGTAGTATTTATTTATGTTAATCACTAGTTTAATGGTTCCATCTAAAACCACATTGACAGTCTATGGTCATTTTTAAAGTTAATCAGATGTATGAATTTGGTTTAATTTACTTTAATATTAACTAGTTAGAAATAACATAAATATTTATTTTCTAAAAAGTTGGAAAAAGTGAGATCCTTGACACTAGCGGATCCAGAATTTAATTATGGAGGCTTCAGCCCGGAAGCTTTTTTTTCCTATATATAACGATAATTACTTTAGAAAAACAGAAAGATACTAACTTCCTATATGAAATGGTATTTAAGTGATTCTTGAAGTACTATTAAATGTAATTAAACGAGCAATAATACTTTAAGACATAATTTTTTAATATTTTTTACCATAAAACATGGTTACATTTTACCATTTTGGGGGGGAGGGGGGAGCTTCAACCCGAAAGCTCCTCCCCCCCCCCCCCGTAAATCCGCCAGTGATCCTTGATAATAATAAAAATCAGTCCTACCATAAATATACCATTGATTTTTTGGTGAAAAAGCTCAGGCAGATGAGTCAGTAGTAATGAAGGAAACCAAGAGTGTCAATGACCATTAGAATTACACTCTCATCTTTTAGTCGAGGTAATGGAGGTTTCTATGTGTAAAGTTTTGATATTTTGCAATTTTATGTTGTTTTTTTGGGATCCTCCCCTTCCTCGCCGTTAAGGCTAATACTGGGTTTTCCCGGGCCAGGGGATGTAAGCGGGGATTTAAAAGATTCCCAGCACTGGGAAGCGAACTTGTGACTAGTTTTATATCATTGAGTTATATATCAGGTTGCCGGGCAACGGCGGTGCAGTGCACACGCGTTAGCCCATTCGGCCACCCCACCCACTTTTGCAATTTTATGTCTTTGACGGTGAACATGAAGTGGAGATTTTTCATCTCAATTTTTTGTTTTGAATAAAAAATGTGAAAAATTATTTCTTTTCCAACCCATGCTAAATATTATAGAAGTTATCTGCTACATGTAAAATAATTTGTGTATATCTTCAATAAAGTTAAATAAGTTTGCAGAAATTAGAGTCCTGATAAGAGTTTTGTAAGTTTAGTAGTTGTTCAAGCAATGACATTTTTTACCAAACACAAAGAATTACAATTTTGTAAATTTATTTTGAAAAATATCTTGGAAACGGTTATTCCAATGAAGAATATTATAAATGAATTTTAAATTATCTTAACTAAATTCTTTTTGAGAGCCAATACGTGTTTTTTTTTAAACATTATTGATTATGGTTTTTATTCAAAATAAGTTACTTAAGGGAAAAATTGAGGTGGGAAACTTAAAATATGAATCAAAACCCCCTCAAAATATTCCAGATAAACCTCTTTTTTGAGCCCCATTGTATGGACTGTATAATATGTTTTAAACTCTATAACCTTTTCGGCTCCTTCTTTCATCTCCCTCGGTCTCCCAATAAAAGTCAACATTTTAGGTAATATATTACAAAACAAAAATCATCATCAAATACTATTAACTCCAGCCACTGACGGAATTAAGTCCAAAACAATCCAAAAGTAAAAACAAATATGTTTTACTTATGCAAAATTTTATTTTTCAAAAGTTGTCAACCAATAAATTATCCCTCTAAAGACTCTCTCTCCTTCCCCTAGTTCTGGCTCTGAATTTGACTCATTCTAACATGTAATACATTAACCATTTCCCATAAGTTATTCAAACAATGCCATCACAAACATCTTGAAACAGCAATATCCTACGCTGAAATACAGCAGGTACACTGATGTAGATGATATTATTTAATATGAGAACAATTAGTAAGACGATTTATAATTTTTTTTTTTACAGAGCATACAACATAAAACAATATATAATAAGCTTGACTAATAATTAAAATAAAATAGGACTACGGTAAATTAAATGTTATCACATATCTTATTTAGTTATAAAAAAATTAAAATAATAATAAAAAATAACTGACTAATGTTTTAAAGAAATAACTAAGCAAATAAATTTAATTTTGATGAAAAAGGCTATTAAAAAAACTATGCATTTTTACATAGTCTATACAAGTAATCTTTAAAAACTTGGCATAATTCACAATTAACCGGCTGTCAATTAACATAAATTTTAATTTCAACAAAATATTTCAATTCTATTACTTGATCTTTCCCAATCAGATACACCAAGCATGATGGTGAATAGTTTATAGCATGTCTTTCGGAACATATGTTAAATTGGTGTTAGTTTCGAAAATGTTCACACTTCTTTTAAAAGATTTCAATCAGGGAAACGTGAAAAAAGTAAGCAAGTGCAAATGCATTTAAATAGCAACAAATATTCTTCATTACTTAAATGAATTTCTCAAGTTAAGTTATTCAAAATGAAATGAGGGCCAAATTTTTCTCTCTTCTCTTTCCACATGCAACTTAGTGTTTGTAACTTCATGGATGAAAGAAATGGATTGAATACTGATGGATTGAAACAATAAATTAAAATATTGGAATCAACAAATCTGGTTAACTATAAATTTTAACTAACTTAACCTTTATCGTCACTGTTGGCCTTGCAGTAAGTTTGAGAGAATGTCAATTTCTTACTGTAAAAATTAATTTTCATTAAAAATACCACTTTGAAGAGAATACAACCTACTGCCTCATCTCCACCTATCATACTAGTGAAAACTAATAATAAAAATCTTTACCTAAAATGTATATAAAAAAAATTAAACCTGAAGATAATTTAAATATCTATGCACATAGTGATGATATTAGTAAGTTTTTGAAGAATTGGAAACATAACTAAATGAAATCAAATACAAATAGATACTGACAAAATGATATTTCAGACATAATAAACATGAAATTAATCAAGGAGAATTATGTAAAGAAAAACAAAATATGAATTAATTAAGTAAAGTTCAACATTTTAGAACCAAATAAATTAAACCAAACCTTTTTAAAATATGTTGGTCTAATATTAAATATAAAACACTAAAACAGTGCCAAGTCAATATATAATTTTAATATCATTTCCTTCTTCAATAGCTTTGCAGTTAAGACCTAAGAATAAAATTTGACCTAATAAGATCCT